TCTGGGGCCGCTGGGCTGCTCGCGCTGCTGCTCGGCGCGGGCTCGGAGGGCGCGGGCCCGGGCGCGCGGGCGCGGGCGGAACTGCTGCTCGCCTGGGTGTGTGGGGGAGAAAAAAAACGGAAGCAAGCTCTCGCGCCGACCAGGTGCTCCCGGCACGCGTGCTGCCTTCCAAGGCGGCACGCCCTCTAAATCAGTTCCTTCCCTGTGTCCTGGCCTGGGCGTCTGCCCTCCAAGGTGGGCGCCCCCCTATTCAATTGCGCTTGCGCCCATGGGGTGCGTCTGCAGTAGGGGGGCCCCCTGGTCCCCTCCCTCCTCCCTTTTGCGCTTTCCGTGCTTTCGCGCTCCCCTCCCTGGTTAGAAGCTTTGCGCCGATCAGGTGTCCTGGCACGCGGGCTTGCCCTCCCAAGCGGCGTGCTCGCATTTGCCTGCCTCCAGGCCGCCGCCGCCCTGCCGCCCCTGCGGCTGGGCCTCCGCCGTCGCCTGGCTGACCCTGTGGCCGGGCTGCTGTTCGCTTTGCCCAGCTGTGATGCGTGCGCCGGCCAGGCTGGGCGCGGTTCCTATCTCTCTTCCCCCCTCCCCTGCGCGGCCCTGGCGACGATTGGGCCGCCGCCGCGCGTTCCCAGCCGGCGTTCCCAGCCACCGCTGCGCCTCGCCGGTTGTCAGCACCTGGTGGCTGTTCCAGCAGCCTTTTGCTGCAGTCATTGCGGGTTTCTCGTGTCCCTGTGGCATTGGTCTGCATCCAGCTGGCGCGCTGGCGCCGGCCTTCTGAAGCAAAACCTGACTTTCGCCGAAATATGACGGACAACGAGATGCTCCCGCTCCCGCGAATCCGTGGGCCCTCCTCCTCCTCTACCTCCTGGCGTACTGGCACAACTTGCTCTTCGCGCTTCCAGCGCCTGCAGCCCTGGCCTCGATCCCTTGGTGTGGCCGTGATGCCGTCCCGCGTCCACTCCCAGGTCACTTCAGCCCCGGCTGGCCGCCCCAGCGCGCTCATCCTGCAATTCTTTCTGCCGTGGATGCCCTCCGCCTCCCTCCTTTCCTCCGCGGCCGCTCCTCCTCCCCGCGCCTCCCCTTCTGCAGCTGGGCATTTAGTTTGTCCAGCGCTACCGACAACTCGAGCGCCCGTGCGGATTGTTACCCACCCCTGCCGTGCTGCGACGGAAGTGGGTAGGGCGTTCGAGTATTGGAGCGGTCGGCTTCCATTTCGTCGAACAAAAATCACCACCAGGATTAGTGAGACTCACCCCGCCCACCGAGGCCTAGGTTGTCACATTCCCTTTCGCGCGTGAATTTCCGAATTCATGTTGCGCGGTTGTAACCTTCCAAGATCGAATAATCGCATGCCGGCCATGTCACTATCGCTTCCCCGCGCATCAATCTCAAGTGATACCATGTGGTGTGGACGCATTGATCTAATCGGTACGTTTGCTTAGAGCACATATCCAACTACATGCGGGCCATATGCGCGCGCCGCCGTTCAGTTAAACATCTGTCATCATTCCTGAACTTCTGCGCGTGCGCGCTTCTTCTCCTTCCTCCTCCTCCTCCACATCATCATCATCATCATCATCACCAATACCATCGTTACCATCGTCACCGCAGTCGTCATCGCCACCGTCATCATCATCATCATCATCATCATCATCATCATCATCATCATCATCATCATCATCATCATCATCATCGTCATCATCGTCATCATCATCATCATCACCACCACCACCACCACCACCACCACCCCCACCATCATCATCATCATCATCATCATCACCACCACCACCACCACCACCACCACCACCACCACCACCACCACCACCACCATCATCATCATCATCATCATCAATCATCATCATCATCATCATCATCATCATCATCATCATCATCATCATCATCATCATCATCATCATCATCATCATCATCATCATCACCGTCGTCGTCGTCGTCATTGTCGTCGTCATCCTCATAACCATAATCTTCGCCACCAGCGCCATCACCTTCGTCATCATACTGGCCGTCGTCATTCATATCATTGTCGTCGTCGTTGTCGTCGTGTTCGTCGTCAGCACCACCATCACCATCCTCAACACTCGCCAGCCCGAGTCACGAATCTGCATGATGAGAGCCCTCCCATCACCACACCAGTTGAGCTTTGCCAGCACGTTTCGGGATGGTGGGTGGGATGTCTGCTCGAGTATTGGTCTTATCGACGAGCAGCGGAATTCACGCCTTCAAGTGATTTATATGTGACTGAGCTCTAGGGATTCCACCCCGTAGATTCCCCCCCGCAACTTTCAACACGTGGCTTGCACCACATGGAGCAGAGCAACACATAGATTTGGATGCATAGGTTGCACCACACATATGGAATCCCAAATGCTCGACATCCAAAGCGCGACAACCCACTCTTTGAGGCTCGCGCTGGCAAACCGTTTTCTGAGGCTTGGCGCTCCCAGCAGCCACGCGGATGGAGGGCGGATCGCTTTCCGAATGTGGCTTTCGCCACAGCGCCACGCACATGCGTCTTCAGATGTTCCAGCCGCTGCGCGGGAGTGCTTGTCGTTTCCAAAATGGCTCTCGCCCATGCGCCGCGCTCATATCCGTCTTTCAAGGCACCCATAGTTACACACACAAGCTGCGAATGCGGAGCGAACTTCCCCGGCCGCTGTTGAGACCACCCGAGCTTACTACACTGGAGGCGAAACGAAATGTGCCGGCGAAAGGGCGAAAGAACGACTATCTGGCTATGCTGCGCTTTGTGCCGAAGGCTATCCCTGTCGTCTCTTGCTCGGGAGCCTGGTGCAAACTATTGGCTGCATAATTGTTGTCCTCACTGCGCAACGGACACGACATGCAAAAGGAGGGTATGAACTAGACGTGCGGCGGTGCAGTCAAATGGTACACATACATGGACGGCTGTTCCTTTTCAAAGCGGGGCCCTCGCTAGATAGTCCAATGAACTTTCTGGTGACGCAAGCTCGCGCTTCTTGTCAAGAGTAAAGCACATTCTTTTCACAGCGGCGCTCTCGCCTGAATGGTAAACCCAAAGAACGCTCGTCTTACAAGGGGGCGCTTCCCGTAATGAAGCGGGATGCTTGCAGAGACACATGAGGGGACTCCTCTTCCTTCTCCGCGTCGTCGTCGTCATCGTCCTCTTCCTCATGCTCCTCCTCCTCTTCCTCCTCCTCCTCCTCCTATGTATTCCTCTATCTCGACCTTCTCCTTCTCCGACTTCCTCCTCCTCCTCCTTCAGAGCCCCTGCCTCTTCTCCTCCTGCTGCGTGCCTGTCCTTGCCCTTGCACGCCGCTGTTCGATTGTTCGCTCCCCTTCCCCGCCCAGGACGTCGCCCGACCTCCGCCGCCCTGCTCAGCGCCCCCTCGTGCAACAGCCAAGCATCCCAAATCAAAGGAAGAAAAACCGACATAAGCATTCACTTTTGGAGGTCCGCGCGGATTCCTTGGATCTGGGCTAGAACCCCATCCCTGGCGCGCGGAGCGCGCCAGGGGCGGCGTCGGAGGCGCCGCCAGGGGGGCCAAAGCGCGGATGCAAGAAATCCGTGCGGAGTCGGATCCAACGCGGTGGGAATGGACAGGCGGGAGGGGCAGGACGTCAGATGTGCCGCGAGCGCACCTGGCTTGTCACTTTCCAGTCTTCGTCGTCATCCTCGTCCTGCTCCTGCCCGCTAGCTGGGGCCAGTGTGCTGGTGAGGCACCCGCGCGGCGCCAGGGCACACTGAACTCCTCATGAAGCTCGTCGCGCGGTGCCAAGTCGGCGCCATCCGCCAAGATTTGGTGCTGCGGTCGGCAGCTGCATTGGGAACCAAGCTCGTGTGCAGAAACTTAGCTCGTCGTGCGGCGACAAGCTGGCACCCTTCGGTTCGTAGCCCGCAGGGGCCTCCCCAATGGGGTCCGAAAAGATGGCGCCAGACGATCGCGCCGCATCGGCGACGCTGGCGGTGCATCGGCATCGGCGTGGAGAAATTCGGGCTCCGCATCGAGCCGCATCATGGATGCATCGGCGATGCGGCGCGATCCCCCGACGCCATCTGCTCGGACCTCATCTGGCGGATTCCGGAAACCATGAACCAGAAAACCTTTACCATGTCTTGGGATGCCGACTTTTACTTCCGCCGCCTTCCGCCGAGGAAGAGATGACGACTCCTTAGGATCCCCGAAGGCGAGGACCTTTCTTGAAGCCTCCTCTGGGAGGCTCAGAGCCCCTGGGATTTCTCCGCTCCTCCAAGGCTTGGTGCTGGAGCTCTCTCTCTCTCTCTCTCAGGGTTTCGTGTTCCCACAAGCGGGCCTTGCTGCGAGGAGCTGCCGTTTACTGTGGTGCAGGAGCCGAGAGCTCGATGGCGCTCGCGCGGGCGATCCCGCAGATACAGCCGCATGGTAGGGCGCTCCTCTCTTCTGCTTGGCCAAGGGAGTGGGTAGGTACGTAGGTACGGCAGGTTCGTGCGGCGTCGGCGCGCGCAAATGTTGTTGACACCGCGTCGATCTTTCAATCTTGAACCGATCGCGGCCCCGATCGTTCAAGGTTGGAGTCCGCCGGGTCCAGTGGCGTCACCGTGTCCCTGGATGCTTCCGCGTCGCAGAATTCAACCTTGAACGCCTTCGCCGGCGTCGCTGGCGCGCCATTGCCGAATGAACCTCCCTACCTGCCTTTCGAAGGATGTTTTTTTTCAGCATTGAGCAGAGACTTTCGCTGAGGTCGCCCTCCCCCCTAGGAGCTAATAGAGTTAGCACCAACACAATTCTCGCTCGACTCCTCCTTCTCCTCCTCCTCTCTCCTCCTCCTCCTCCTCCTCCTCCTCTCCTTAGGCTGCAAGCTGACCAAAATGCCTGCACCTTCCCTGCAGAGCTCAGCTCACTGAGTCACCCGAGGTCCGCGACCGACCGACCGACCGACCTCCTCTCTCCCTCTCCTCATTCTCCCCCTCCTCTCACTCGTCCTCCTGCTCTCTCCTCTTCCTCCTGCTCTCTTCTCCTCCTGGACGGGCCGTCCTGATGCCCCCCAGCACCTTCAGGCCGTAGAAGCAGAAGAGCTCCGCGAGTGAAGATGCCCGGTCGCGCAGCAGTCTCCTCGGCCGCCGATCGCCCAGCCAAGGCATGACTGCCTTCTGGCTCATCGCTCCTCCTCCTCCTCCTCCTTTTCCTTTTCCTCCTCCTCCTCCTCCTCCTCCTCCTCCTCCCCCTTTTTTTCTTCTCTGAACTCTTTCCTTCTCATCCTGCCTTTATCCCTCCTCCTCCTCCTCCTCCTCCTCTTTCTTCCTCCAATTTCCAATTCGCCAATCGCTGCAACTGCTGCTGCTTCTCCTCCTCCGCGCGCACTCTGGTGCGCGGGGGGGTGGGTGGGGGAGGGGCAGAGGAGGGAGGAGAGAGGCAAGCTGGGCGCGCTCGTGACACTTCTGATATATGATATCCTGCGCCTCCCACCCACCCCTTCGAAAGCATTCTTATACTCGCGGCGAAAGGGGGCGTTATTGAGGGGAGGGGGAGTGCTGGGGGGCGGGCATACTGTAACGCCCCCCCCGCCGTGTGGGTCCAGCAATACGGACTGCGGTGCCAGACGCATTGCGGCAATGCCGGGGGCACACTGGGCGGGGGGGGAACGTTACGTGCTGGGGGGGGAGAGGGCTGCCTAACGCGCGGTATGTCTCGGAGGGCAAAAAACACTCTCTCCCCGCTGCGTTGAATCGTTCCCCAATGACTGCTTGCACGGGAGGGCTCCTGGCGGATGCAGAAATCACGGGCGAAGATGCCGGGCTGGTCTCAGTGGGCGGCCGGGTTCCCGAGGCCCCGATCCCGGGTCCGGGCGAACATGCTGGGCCGATTGCGGTGTGCGGCCAGATTCCGTGCGGCGGCTGGCGAGCGGGCCTTCGGCCGGTCCTGCCTGCCACCCGGAAGGGCGCAACAGAGAGGGCCCCCGTGGGCTCTTCGACCCAAGACGGTCTCGAGACGGCCTCCAAGACAGCTCAGATGGCCTTTTAAAACGGCTCAGTTGGCCCCGAGGGAGCCCAATATGCCCTCAAGATGTTTCCACGACGGCTTAAGGTGCATCCATGACGGCCCAGGAGGGCCTCAAGATGGTCCGAGACGGCCCCCCTCAAACCCCAAGAGGCTTCCACGACAGCCTAAAAGGCCTTCAAAAGGACATCCAGGAAGTCCAGAAGAGGTCTGTCAATATCATTGATTCCCCTAATGTGTTTGAAGGATGTTTGGATTTGCTGTTTTTGCCTTCCGACGGCCCAACACGGCCCAAGAGGCTCTCAAGATCGCTCCAAACGCGCTCAAGAGGTCTTCAAAATGGCCCCAACACGGCCCAAGAGGTCCCCGAAACGGCCTCAAGACGATTCCAAGACGGTCCCAGATGGGCGCCAGGATGGCCATGACGAGCTCCAATATGCCTCCAAGACGGCCAACATGGCCCTAAGAGAGCCCAAGATGGCCCCAACATTTCTCCCAGACGGCCCAACCATGTACCCAAGACGGCGCAGGATGGCCTCAAGATGGCCTCAAGACAACCCAAGATGTGCCCAAGACGGCCTCAAGATAACCCAAGACGGCCCAGGAAACCGCCAAGAGGCTTCCACGACGGCCCAAGAGGCATCCAAGATAACATCCAGGACTGCCAGAAGAGGCCACAATCATTGATTCACCTAAGGCTTTTCTAGGGTTTGCGTGCGGTGCGTCTGCGGGGTGTGTGCCTGGCGGGCGGTCGGGGGCGGCGCAGGGTGTGCGTGCACTTTGTGTTTAGTGTGAGTGGTGTATTGTTTACGTGGTGTATGATCTATATGGGCATTCATGCGCTGGGGGCGTGTGATGCTTCTCCTCCTCCTCCTCCTCCTCCTCCGACTCCTCCTACAACTGCTCCTCCAACTCTTCCTCCAACACCTCCTCCTCCCCCTCCTCCTCCTTCTCCTCCTCCTCCTCCTCCTCTTCCTCCTCCTCCTCTTCCTTTTCCTCCTCCTCCTCCTTCTTCTCCACCTCCTCCTCCTCGTTTTTTTTCGGGGATGTCTCGAGCGAGGTTCTCACTGTTTAACAACAGCCATCTCAAACATGCGATTTCACCATCTCATTTTCGAGGATCTCAGTATCCGAAGATGTCTCGGACGAAACGCCCATGTTGAGGGGATTCCGAAGAGCAGCAGATAATTTGAAACCCCGAGCCAGGGGTCCCTCGCGTCTTAACACTTTATTCGTTCCTTATCAAGAAGGGCCTAACAAACTCCACCACCTTCTCGTTCCGAGATGGCGCTTCCCGTCACATGGAGCATTTTCTAGCTCCCAGCCCCAGTTGTCTTCGCCAGGGCCCAATGAGAACGGTGTGAACGCGACCTGCTTGGCATCTGTAGAATGTGGCGCCAAGCCGCGCATGCCAACCCGATGGGCACATGATGCCACGGCGGCGCATCGGGAAAAGCACGAACACTCTGCGCAGAGTGAGAGAGACAGCGCGCATCTACGAAGTAGTCCAACTCCCTCTCCTCCCTATGGCCCTCTTTGTTGTCCCCATGGGCGGTGCCGTCGGGGGCCCCCAGCCCTGCGGGCGACAGTCCTGAACGGAATGTGGCGGATCCCGTGACAAGACAGCCCCTTCCCCCTTTGACCAACCATCTCGAAGCTTTTAACTCCTCAGGCATGACATTCCAATCTGCTTGGAGGATGCAGACACGTGGAAATTGTTTCAGACAGGCCCCCAGGGCATCTAACATTCCAAAGATGTCCCCTGCCACTCCTTGACTGGTGAAAAGTAGGCCGAGACATGCACCGTGCCGCCTGGCAGGCCGACGTTGATGTGCCGTAGCGCCAGACGAGCGCGATAGGCCGCCGGCCCCACTGGCCATGGACAGGTTGAAGCGAGACTCAGGGTAGCCCCAATCCCCGTCCCAGCTGAAGACTGAGTGGGACATGGTCCCGTGCTGTCAGCCGTGCCCAGGGCCAGATGCCATCCTTTGCGCTCTGCCCGGCCTCTCGCTAGGTTATTCTTCTCGAGTGTCCTGGGGCGTGTCTCCTGGAAGCTGATGATGTGGGGCCGCGTGGTCCGGTGATCCCGCCTCCTCGCTCCGTCATCAGCTCCAAACAGGGAGCGCCCTTTGTCTTCGCTCCAGTCGATCACCGAGGTAATCGCCTCCATGAATTCACATTGGCCCCCGAGCACAGCAAACTATTCGCAACCTTGGGCGCGTCGTTATGAAGCGAGGGATACAAAACGGAATCGTTCAAATCGCCGCGACGAGGAGCTGCCGCGCTCGGGGAGCACGTGACAGCGTTGCGTTCTAACGCCGGCGATCCTGTCCACGCAGAAGGTGTCGTCGGAGTCCACGCGCCCGATCCTGGAGCCGCTCCCGAGTGCCCGCTGGAAGACGTACGCGGTGCAACTGGTGTAGCTGCAGCAGTCCCTTCGCGAAAATCCGAAGTCAGCGTGGCTCCATAATCCGCGCGGGCAGGCAAACTTTGGAACCGCGACCTGTGCAGCGGCTGCAGCCCCTTCACGCAGAGTCGACTCGGACAATTTGTCGGGGGCTGCCCACGACTCCCTGATGTAGTTCTTGCGGGAAGCCCCGCCCGTGCCAGTGAAGGAGCCCGAAACACCCGAGGTCCACGGTGACCATGTTGGCGACCTCTGCCCAACCTTTAGCAATTCCCCCTGGAAGGACTCGAGACCCCTCCATTCAGGGGTGTCGCCAGTGCCTGCGCCAAGGGTGTCTCCACCTTCTCAGGTTGGATGAGTGCGCCGCTCGACGAGGATGCCCTCGACGGCGTCCGTGGCGCACCGGCCTCCCAGTACGCCTGGAGGTCGGACTCGTTCATGCCGCCTGCACAAACACGCTGCGGTGCCATCGTCCGAGCACGCTTGGCGCCGAGCTTGGCGGCCGCGTCGCGATGCTTGCTCTTAGCCTCGGCCTGCTGCTCAGCAGGTGCTTAAGCCGCTGCCCTGAGCTCCTCCGCGGTTGCTGCGATGGCTGCCTGTCGCTCGGCGAAGTCGTCGCCCCACAGCAGGTCCATGTCGATGCCATCTTCGTCGACAGGTTCGTCAGCTGCAGACCTGCCTGCAGGAGCGGCGCCAGCAGCAGGAAGAGCACCGCCGTGAGCTTGAGCCGTAGCCTCAGCCTCGGCGGCGGCCTGGGCAGCCGCAGCGTCTGCTGCAGCCTGCCGCTGCAGACCCTCCAGGACGGCGAAGGCGTCCTTGCCTTCCTGCGAGGAGTCCACTGCAGGCTCCAGCCCCGCTGTGAGCGCCCTGATGGGGTTCTCGTGCTCGCCCGCTTGGATTTTGGCCAGCACGTCTTGGGCCGCCACCAAGTCCTGCTCGGCTTGATCGTTCCCCTTTTTGATCGTAGCCATTTCCTCGTCAATCGCGGCCCGCTGCGCCTCAAGCTCGGCCGAAAGGATCTGAGACTTCTGGATGTTCTTCTTAAGGTTCTCCACCTTCCACTATGTCGACATTGGCTTGGGGGCCTTTGCCGCAGGTGGCTTGGCCTGGGCTGCTGCCTCTGCCGCCTCCGTACTGGCCGTGTCCAAACCCTCCTTCTTGAGGAACTGCAGCACCGCCGCGTACGAGAGCTCCCCTGATGCCGAAGCTGGTTGGGCTTCCCTTGCCTTTGTCCTCGCATGTGCCCGTGAAGCCGTCACCATGCTCCATGCCCCCGCCTTCGGCACCTGCCGGCGCAAGATACCATGGCGACGTGGCCGGCGTTGGCTCGCCGCTGAGCTCGGCCACCTTGACACGCAGCTCCTGGATGAGGCGAAACTGGGCGGCATGCCCAGGAGGCCCTCGTGCCCACGCGCCCTTGCTGCCCCGTGGCTTGACCGCCACCGAAAGGCTCTTGAACGCTGCTGCTGCTTTGCGGGCTGTCGCCACCGTCTTCCACATCCCCTGCACTGGATCCGCGACGCCCAAGTGTCGCAACACCCACACGAACACCCCGAATAGGGCGTGCGCGCGCCTGGTAACACATCGGGCGGCGGCAGTACCATGAGCCGCCTCCTGGAACAACCACTGGTAGCCTCGTGTGAAAGCTGAAAATGCTCGCAAGCGCGAGCCGCTCTGAAGAACGCTCTTGCAAGCTCAGGCTGCAAACCTGACCCCAAACGGCTTAGGAAGCTTTCGAGAGACTCCAAGAGTGCCCCCAAAGGCTCTTAAACAACCTTTCCCTTTTCTGTCCCCCTCCTCTTCTTCTGTCTCCCCGACGTGTTCCCCGAAAGGTTTCCACAACGGCCGGGGGGAACACATAGTCCGATAGCTTGGCCGAGCTCTGGCCACAACGTTCGACCCCATAGGCGCTTCAAAAAAAACAAGGGGCGGCGGGGATTCGCCGAAGGCGCCTTACGCGCGACGACACGCCGACCTTGCGCGCTGGCGTACGCGGGCCGCCAGCGCGGCACGCTAAAATTATACATTGGAAGCGAAGGCGCTTATGCGCGACCTCACGTGGGCAGATTACGCGCCAATGTCCGTGCAGACGACCCCGTTTTCGTCCGTCGCTCAGATGGCACCGCACGGCGTGGCGATGATGACGATGCTGGTGATGAGGAGGATGATGAAGAGGACGACAGCGAGGAAGAGGCTGCTGCTGCTGCGGAGGAGGAGGAGGAGCATGGGCCCTGGCCTTTTTGTATACACCCTCCTGACCAGGAGAACCAAACAACGGCAATTCAAAATCGGCCCCCGGGGTCCCTCATGGGGTCCAAACGCACCAGTGTCCCGAGCTGCGTCCAGCCGTGGCGACGAGGGTCCACCCCCCCCGAATGCCAACTGCCGCTCTCGGCTCGCCCTCTTTTACCGCGGTGGAGCGGCCCCTGGCCCCCGGTCCTGACCCGCGTGCCCAGCGCGGTCACGGGCTCCGTCTGGAACCGCGCCAAGTACAGCTCCGGACTGACGCACTCCTGGAAGGCCCTCCGCACGCCGTCCTGGGACCGACGGAACCCTTCCTGCTTTCATCGCTCCTTCATCCTTGCCTCCTTGCTCGTGCTTTCCCTCCCTCCCTGACTCTCTGCCGCCCTTGCATTCTCCCTCTCCCCTCCTCCCTCGACATCTCCGCCAACCCTCTTGTCTTCCCTTCCCTCCCTCCCTCCCTCCCTCCCCATCCTCTCCTCCCTCTCTCCCTCCCTCCTCTACAATTGCACAATATGAGTGCTACTCTCCTCTCTCCCCCAAAGGCGCCTGTGAGCCATCGTCCCCCTTCCGCGTACTGTTTTCACACACAGGATTTGATTATGTTGTCTTTCACAAGGTTTGCTTTGCAATCCGATTGTTTCCAGAGTTTTAAAGTCGTGGTCCCGCTGCAACGTGAGCTTCATTTTTGGATCGGCACTTTGCTCGCGCCCCAGCGCGAATCCCTGTTCATCGTTGTCACCCCCTTCATTTCCCATTTTCCGCCTTCCCCTGGTCCACCTGCTCCTCCCGCTCCATCCACTCCAGTCCTGCTACTTTCTCGTCCTCCTCCTTCCTCATCCTCCTTCTTTCCCTCCTGCTCATCCGCCTCCTCCTCCTCCTCCTCCTCTTCCTTCTCCTCTTCCTCCTCCTCCTCCTCCTCCTCCTCCTCCTTCTCCTTCTCCTCCTCCTGCTGCTCCTCCTCCTCCTCCTCCTCTTCCTCCCCCTCCTCCTATTCACGAGGCTCCCTTGAACCAATTGCGCATAACACGATGGTATCTTTCTGGGAGTTCCAGGTCCGCTATCATACACTTCCGCGGATAGAAACTAAATCAGCGTAAGGAGGGAGGGGTAGGACGTCGGATATCACGCGACCGCACCTGGCTTGCCCTCTCCCTCCTCTCCTCTTCCTTCTGCACTGGGCCGCCGCGGGGGATGCCCCAAACGGGCCCCACGGTTCGCTGAGGCACCGAAGCGCGCAAGCCAAAGCGTTCTAGCAGCCGGCCGTGCAGACGGGCCCTTACGTTGCCTGTTCACCTTTGTCATCGTTCTCCACCTGCTCCCCTTCCCTCTGCTCCTTTCGCGTCCCTCATCCTCCGTGCTTCCGCTGCTCTCCTCCAGTCTGCCCTGGCTGCCCTCCGCCATTTTGCTCCTGCCAGTCCTGCTCTTGCTGCTGCTGCTCCTCATCATCCAGCCCGAGAGGCATCGAGGAGGGCGACACCAGCTAGTGACACATTGAAGAGTAGCAGCCTCGCTGCCCCCTCCTCATCCTCAGTCCTCCTCCTCCTCCTTCTCCTCCTCCTCATGATCCTCCACGCCGCCAAGTGTGCGCCCTTCTCCTTCTCCTCCTCCTCCTCCTCCTCCTCCTCCTCATCCTCTTCCTGTACTCGGGAGACTCAAGCACGTCCTCCTGTTGGCTCCGATGCCGCCTGTTACCGCTGGCAGAACCTGCACGCAAAGCGGCGAAAGACAATGCAAGGGGCATGGGTTTTAAAAGGGGGTCGGGGGTGGCATTGGCTCCTTAGGCGTCCAGCCGTGCCCACGCCCTCTGCAGAGGCCTCCTCCTCCTTCTCTCCCTTCGCCTCCTCATCCTCATCCCCCCTTTTCCCTTCTCCTAACCCTCGCCCTTCTCATCTGGCGTTTTCCCTCCCCCTTTCCTCCTCCTCCTCCTCCTCCTCCTCCTCCTTCTGCTGTTTCCCTCTCACCTCTTCCTCGTCATCATCCTCGTCCCCGTCTTTTTCCATTTCCTCCTCGTACTCTTTCTCCTCCTCTTCATCCAACTCGTCTTCCTCGTCCTCGTCAGCTCGTCCATCGTATCGCAGTGAACTTTTCTGACGGCGCTCGACATTACTGGCAACAGCTTGCTCTCAGCAGCTACCAAGGTCAAACCACGTCAAGATTATCTGCAAGGTCGGCCCTCCAAATGCACCCGCCGTTCAATCCGTCGTCATTATCGGAATTAAGGGAAGACATCGAGGACGCCGCTTGCATTCTCGAATTCCTGTCCGAGATTTAAAGTATTCAACCTGGCCATCTTAAAGAGGGGAGGAGGACTTCCGAGCAAGTCCCCAAGCCCCAGCTGAGTGTAATTCATGGCTGGCAGCGTGCAGAGCACGTGCCATGGAGGTGCTCAGCTTGTTTCACATTGAATAGCTCGCATGGCTACTTAGAAGTGCACGCCAGTTTCGCGTGAGTTCAGGGGCCGACTTTCGAAGGTCTATGCCTCCCACTGCCTGTCGGCGGGCACCTCGTTTTCCGTGCGAGGTGTGGGGGCCACCCCACTTTTGTTTTCGAAGGGCTGCTGGATGAGCGCAAGGGTTCACCACAGAGTGGCAAGAAGGTAACATGCAAGAGACAATTGTCAGGACTTCGCCCAGATGACGGCAAGCCTTTCAACGACATCAGAGGGGCCTCCAGCTACAGAGGCTAAAGGCCATCGGGGCCGCCGACCCAGGGCGGCGCTCCTTCTGCCCTCGAATGAGAAAACTTCCTCGTCTTCCTCCTGCTCATGCTGATGCCTCTCCTATTCCTCTTGCTCCTCCTCCTCCTCCTCCACCTCTTCCTCTTCCCCCATCCACCTTAATTATCCTGCTCGATTCCTCACCCTTCTCCTCCTCCTCCTTCTCCTCCTCCTTTTTGCCCCTTGTACTCCCCTTTCACTTCCCCCTTACCCTTTTCTTCTCTCAGGGGCGACGATGGGGGCGGATAGCCTAGGGGGAGCAATACATGTACCCAGGGGCGCTGTCGGTCCATATCTTCGGCGAGGCTCCCAGGCGAACGCTTGTAACGCCCGCCCCTGGGCTATTCGCCCCTATCGTCGCCTCCTGCTCATGCTGCTGCCGCTCTTTCCCTCCTCCTCCGCCTTCTCCTTTCCTTCTCCTCCTCCTCCTCCTCCTCCTCCTCCTCCTCCTCCTCCTCCTCCTCCTCCTCCTCCCCCTCCCCCCTCCCCCTCCTCCTCCTCCTCCTCCTCCTCCTCCTCCCATCCACCTTCAGTGTCCTGCTCGTTTTCTCCTCCTCTTCTTCTTCCTCCTCTTCCTCCCTCTCTTTCTGCTGCTCCTCCTCCTGCTGCTTCTGCTGCTCCTTCTCCTCCTCATCCTCCTCCTCCCCTCCTCCCCCTGTCCCTCCTCTTCCACTTCCACCTTCCCCTCCTCCTCCTTCTCCTCCTCCTCCTCCTCCTCCTCTTCCTCATCCTCCTCCTCCTCTTCGGGCGGGCCTCGCCAACGTCTTCGCCCAGCGTGCCCGGTACCAGCATCTGCTCCTGGGCCCTCCGCGCCAGGGCCTCCCGGGCGCGGCCCCCATCGCCTGCCCAGCTGCTCCCTCCACCCTTGTCGATGGGGAGGGAGGAGAAGAGAGTTGGGGGGTGGGAGGGGGGGGAAGGGCTGGAGGGGGAGCGGGGGGGTGGAGGAGATGGGAGGAGGGAGCAATTCAACCTGGGAGGGAGACGCCGCGACATGAGAGAGAGAGAGAGGGAGAGTGGGAGAGGAAAGGAGGACAGGGATAAAATGATGAGGTATGTATCTCCCAGAGACCCAATTTGAAGCATTCCACATCGATAGATGTAGCCTTCCACTGGCGGACCCGCCGCCGCTTTACGTCCGCCGATTTTTGCCGAGGACAAGGATGCGCCGAAGCCGAACGCACCGAAGCTCGCGACACCAAGCGCGCACAAAGGCGCGTGGAGGGGGTCCGGCGCCAGCGAACAACAGCCGTCTGCGGACGCGCAAGGTTTGTGTCGAGGTGCTTTCTCGGCTCATCCCTCTTCCCGTCTTCTCCTCTTCCTCGTCGTGGTCATCGTCGTCGTCGTCGTCGTCCTCCTCCTCCTCCTCCTCCTCCTCCTCCTCCAGACCGCCTGCCTCGATGAAGCCATGGTGCCAGCGGTGTCAAAAAGGAGATGACGGTATAAACGACGATGGCCCTTCAAGGTGCTGGCGCGCCACCTCGCCGTACTGACGCGTACCCAGAGCGGGACTTGGACGGCAGCCAGAGACGCACGAGGAGGAGCAGGTGGATGTTCAACGTACGAGCGCACTGGCACCACTTTAACTATCGTGAAACTCTTGCCGATGTTGCGCTGCTGTTGCGCTGGCCAGTCCTGGGCGATCTTCTTTCACGATTCGTCTTGCCCTTGCTGATGCACAGTTTCCTCACTGCGCGTCTTCTTCAGTGCTATGCATTACGCAGCAGAGACGGACTCAACAGGTACGCGCCTGGCGACCGCACAAAGCAAATTTAAGGCTCCATCTCCAGGGCGCAGCCATCGCCAAGCCCTGCCCATCATGATTCCCAAGCGAACCGCCCGACGGGTGCGCCAAGTTGGCACCACCCCTGGTCGGAAAGCCCCACGGCACTGGGTGGGTGGGGTCTGTCTCCCGCGCCCGCTCCGCCGAGCCTGCTCCACCGACAGGCGCACGAGGAGGAGGAGGAGGATCGCAGTGTAGTGCTGATGCCCTTAAGGGTAGGCATAACCCTTTTGAGTCGGATAGGGCACTTGGGCTCTCCAACTCGTGAAATCGGTGCTCGATGTTGGCACCTGGTAAATGGTGGGTGATATGCGTGTAGTGCAGATCCTGTGGCAGCCACCTCTGCCTCGTAGCACAGTGACCGAGGGGGTCAACGCATGTGGGTCAGACGTCCCATCATGAGGGGATGATGAATGATGGACCCAAGCATGATGTGCGACAACAATGTGTGTAAATATGAGCCCCATGTTGTGTCAACATTGGTGCCAACAGAATGCACCAAACCGAATTCAAGCACCAATGTGCGCTCCCAAGGGGTGCACGGTTTGTCCGCTCCACGGGGGGTGCAAACATAGCTCAATCTTCAAGTGACCGGAAAACGTTTCCTGCACTTCGGTCCTCATGGGATGCCGGCGGCGCTTGTGCGGAAGATGTCCGAGGCATAGGTGGCCGCCTCCCAAGCGTGACACCAGCGGGTCGGTGTTGAGGAGCCCTGTGGCAACCTAGACGGTCGCCTCATAACTCCCTGGATGGGGGCCTCGGATGGCGGACATACCCAACTATGACTCCGTCCGCATCCATGGCAATCTCACTCCCGAGGTAACGGAAAGAGCGAAGTACGAGTGATGATATTCTTGTGCGGGGCGAAGCCCTCTAGGGAGGGGTTCCGGGGGAAGGGCGAGGGGGGCACGCATACGTCTAGTGGCCGTCGGGGGGCCGTTTCCCTAGCATTTTTTCGAATAACGGAAAGAGCGAGGTACGAGTGATGACGTTCTGGTGGGGCGAAGCCCTCTGGGGAGGTGTCCAGGGGAGGGGCGAGGGGGGCACGTTCCGTCGTTAAGGGCCGCCGGGGGGCCGTTTCCCTCGTATTTTTTCGAATGAAGCGGCTCGCTGGCGCCTTCCACGGCCTGCCTCCTAGTATTTTTTCAATTGAAGCGGCTCCAGGGTCCTAAGACGGCCCACGAGGGCGCCAACGACCCAAAGCCGGCCCCAAGGGAGCTTCGGCTGGCCTGCTGACGGTCCAAGAGAGCCTCGAGACGGCTCCAGAGACACTCCAGAGGGCCCTCGAGAGGGCCTCTGGAGCCCCAGAACATTGATTTCCTATGGCTTTTGATGTTTTTTCGGGTTCTCGCCCTTCCGGGCCCAGACAGGCCCCACACGGCCCACGAGGTCCCAAAGCTCGTCCCCAGACGGCCCAGGAGGCCCCCCTAACGGCCCGAAAAATGTCCAAGAAGGCCCCCAGACGGCCCCAGAAGGGCCCAGAACGGTCCCCAAAAGGGCCCGAAGAGGGCCCAGGAGGGCCCCAAGACGGCCCCAAGAGAGCCCCAAGACTGCCCAAAGAGGCTCCCAAGAGGGCCCCAAGAGGCTCCCAAGAGAGCACCAAGACGGCCAAAGGCCTCGAAGACGCCCACGACGGCCCAAAAGGGCCCCAAGACGGCTCAGAATTGCTCCAAAAGGGCTCGCGAAGGGCTCCAGAAGGGCCCCAAGAAGCCCCCGACGAGGCCCAAGAGACGCTCAAAAAATCCATGGCTCCCATCAGCGAGCGGTGACGTAACAAGCTCTTGACACCAAAGCTCCCCCGAGCGCGGTGACGTGCAAAGCTCGTCACAAGACGGCTTCCAAGAGCGAGCGGCAACGTAACAGTCTCTGAACACCAGGGCTCTCAACGGAGAGCGGCGACGCAACAAGCTCTTCACACCAAGGCTCTCAAGAACGAAAAATGCCATGAACCATCTCGGGTGAATTCCCGAGGCGCTCTTTCCGTTTCCGTGCCGGCCCAAATGATGCGGCTCCCGGGTGGCTCCCATGACCCGTTTCCTTATATTTTTTAAAATGATGTGGCCTGAGGGCCCCCAAACTGCCTAAGACGGCCCCTAAACGGCCCAAGAGGGCACCAAGACGGCCCCAAGAGAGCCTCAAATGGCCCCCAGACGTTTCCAAGAGAGCCTCAAGACGGCTCCAGAAGCCTTCCAGAGGGTTCGCGAGAGAGTCCCCAGGGGCAGAAAACTGTTTTTTTATGTTTTTGTTTGATGTTTTTCGGGTTCTTGCCTCTTCGGGCCAAGAACGGTCCAAAACGGCCCACGAGGCTCCAAAGATCGCCCTAAGACGGCCCAAGAGGCCCCCGACAAGGCCCGAAACCTGTCCAAGAGGGGCCCAAGACGGCCCCAGAGGGGCCCAAAACGGCCCCAAACGGCCCGAAGACGGCCCAGGAGGGCCCCAAGACGGCTCAAAAAGAGCCCCAAGAGGGCCAAAGAGGCTCCCAAGAGGGCCCCAAGATGCCCCCAAGAGAGCCCCAAGACGGCCAAAGGCCTCCAAGACGCCCTAGACGGCCCAAAAGGGTCCCAAGACGGCCCAGAATTGCCCCCAAAGGGCTCCCGAAGGGCTCCAGAACGGCCCCAGGAAGACCCCGACGAGGCCCAAGAGACGCTCAAGAACACCATGGCTCCCATCAGAGAGCGGTGACGTAACAAGCTCTTGACACCAAAGCTCCCCAGAGCGCGTTGACGTGCAAAGCTCGTCACAAGACGGCTTCCAAGAGCGAGCGGCAACGTAACAGACTCTGAATACCAGGGCTCCCAACGGAGACCGGCGACGCAACAAGCTCTTCACACCAAAGCTCCCAAGAGCGAAGGGTGCTATGAACCCTCTCGGGTCAATTCCTGAACCGCTCTTTCCGTTTCCGTGCCGGCCCAGGTAACGGAAAGAGGGAGGTACGAGTGATGACGTTATGTTTGGGCGAAGTCCTCTAGGGGGGGTGCAGAGGGGGGGGGAGGATCGGAGGGATGGGACCTAATGGCCGCTCGGGGCGTCTTGGAGGCCTCTTGGGTGCTTTTTGGGCCTTCTTGGGTCCAAGAGGGGTCCAAGACGGTCCAACATGCCCAAGACGGCCCAAACACAGCCCAAGAGGCTTCCGAGACGCCCCGAGAGGCGCCCAAGAGGCGCCCCAAGAGGCCAAACTCATTGATTTCTTTATGAAAAGCGTGCATCTTTAGCATATGCGGCTTTTCGGCTTTCACGGCATTGAAGGCGGTCCAAGAGGCCCCCAAGATCGCCCCAAGACGGCCCAAGAGGCTCCCAGGAGGCCCCCAAAACGGCCCAAGAGGGCCCAAAGACGGCAAAAGAGGCGCCTAAGACGGCCCCAAGACGGGGACCACGAATGGGAAAGTTTAGCCTTTCGCCCCAAGAACCTCCTAAGAAGCCTCAAGAGGCCCCCAAGAGGCGTCCCAAGAGGGCCCCAAGTCCGAAGCGGTAAGAACGCCCAAATCTTGCAAACACCAAAGGGACATCTATAATTTTGCCCTCTTGGGGCACTTGTCGGGGTCCTCTTGGAGCCTTCTTGGGCCGTCTTGGGGGCCTTTTGGTCCGTTTGGAGAACTTCTTTTGAACTCATACGCAAACTGCTGCGGGCGGGCGCGAATTCCAATAGCACTAGTTCCCGGCTTCTGCGTGAACTTCACTGAAAGCGTGCCCTATCAACGCCAAAGCCCGACACCCAGAGTTGGAAATCGTTGTATCTGTAACAGGCGTGCAAGCAACATGCACGACCGATGTAAAGCACAGCGCAGAAAGGAGTGCCCACCAGGATGTGCTTCCCGCCAGCGACCGATGTCCTGAACCTGTACATCCAATGCGCTCACTAAAGACGAACAATGTGACAGGACGCGAATCCGAAAACTAAGCTTGCGAGGCTCGGAAAAGACAACGTGCCGCCGCTAATCGTCGTCGGCGTTGCATCGCATTCTTCAGGGCCACTCCGCACAACGAATTGGCCAGTGCAAATCTTTGGGAACCAGTTGAAGCCGTCACCAGGATACATGCACACTTTCCATGACTCGCCATAGCTGGCCCCACCGTTTGGCTTGAAAAGGAGCTTGAGGGAACGACCGTCAGGCTCAGCCTCGATGCCTTTGAGGATGGGCTGCGATCCTGCATCCCACTCATGCGTGCTCCACTCAGTGAACTGCATTACTTCCGCGGGGCGCGAGAAGACCCAAGGCAACTCATCGCCTTCCTTCCAGCCGCCTATGAGTGCTCGATAAGAGGCTGAGGCGTCTGGGGCTGTGAAGATCATTGGAACAAGCGTCTCGCTCCCTTCAACAAGGCAATCGACTGGAATCTCTGCTGGTGGTTCCAAAGCAAACATCCCATCGTCCGAACGACCCATTTGCACGGTGAAATTCATGACATGAGCATCCGTGATGTTTGAATTGTTCGCCGAGCAAGACACCGTCCACAGAAAATGCTCTATGAGGCTATCCTTTCCGCCCAACATGTTGTCGAAACCACGAAATGTGTACCTCACCGTGACGTTGCTCAGACCAAAGTCAATGACTGTTCGTCCGACGATTGGTACCCCTGGCTCAGAGTATGAGGGCAGCGGAGGAGTTGACGTGACCCCTGTGGCTCCCCACCTGCACTCCTCTGGGAGAATGCACGTGCTCTCTAGTGACTGCTCTTCTCCGACTTTCATTGACAGTGGTCCGGGGTCGGAGCAAGTGATGACGGAAGAGGCAACGTCCACAACAACGAACGCGCACATGTACATCAAGACCGACATTACTGCGAGATCAACCCAGATGCCACTGCAATATCTCCTGGCTTGATTGTCAGACCCACCAACGTGAGGTTACAAGAAGTTGGGCCAAAATATGGCTACATATCCGTTTGGAAAACTTCTTGGGCCGTCTGAGAGGGGACCGGGCGGGGGGGGGACATTTGAAAAAGTGTGCCGCATCCTGGGCCGAGGGCCTGGTTCTCCGTGTTATTGTATGAGATTAGACGGTACGGCCTAGGAGAGCAACCATAACTCTGTATGCGCTACATGTAAGTAGCCCCAGCGCCGTTTCAGCTGAGCATCATATCGTAGGCTCTGGAGCTAAATCTCGGTAAGGGTATTTGTATATTGGGTGGGTGGATGCAAGTTTTGATGCGGGGAGGGCGGGTCAGGTCCTTGACACTTTTCTAACGCTTGATCTTCGCTCTACTTCTCCAGATTCTCTCGCCTGTTCCACGTTCTTTTCAGCACTGCTGCCACACATCACGCTTTTATCCTCTCGCGCTCGTCCTATTGGCAGTTTTAGTGTCCGCCTCTATAACAGTTCGAGTCGTTGAGGAAGGGAACAGTTCCGTCGCTGATGTTTGCCGAACATAAAATGAAGGAGGAGGGGGACCAATTTAAACCCAATGGTCGTCAACTATGTTAGGATAGACCACCCCTCCAAGCTCCCCCTTCGCAGGCTCCTACAAATCTTCGTTTTCCACTGAAGGGAACTGCATCGTTGGAAGACAACAATTTCAAGACCTTGAAGCATGCCAAAACATTTGTCTCGGGACTCCAACGCCAAGGATCAACCTGACTGTTGTGTCTGGGCGATCCTGAATCGTGCCAGAACGCCATTCCTGGGACTTCAACTCTACGAATCGATGTAATGGTTGCGCCGTAGATCTCCTCTCTATTCGCACAGTCGGGTGTCGATGAGGGCAATGATCGCGTGAGGGTACGCGATGTATGGTAGAGCACGGCATGGCATGGCGTAGAAAAGCACGGCAGCGCGTAGCATGCCGTAGCATGGCGTGGCATTGCGCAGTGAAGTATTGCACCACATAGCATTGCAACGCAAAGCATGGCATCGCACAGCGGCGCAGAACACAACATCGCACATCATGTCATGGCATGGCGCCAAGTTCTTTGGAAAATAAATGGATCGTCTTCAAGAGGTCTGGGCCGGGCTGGAGTCGTGGCTCCATGTCTAGCTCCTTGGGCTCCCGTGGAAGCTCCACACGAGGCGGGGCTGATGGAGAGCACCCGCTGGCTCTGCTTCCAACATCGCCTTCTCAAAGCAGAAACGGGGCTCCTGCTTGATAATTTCTGCAGACGACGACGCCCCCAAGTGGAAACAACGAATCGACACCGACTGTGTAATCACTTCCGATGGTTTTTTCTGCGGTCCATTTTCTAGATTTGGGGGCCTTTTTGGGAGGAAGGCCAACGCTGCAGCGGGAGCACGATTCGGAACGAGCGGAAACGCAGAAATGAGACGAGCGCTGCAGCGGGAACACGATTCGGAACGAGCGGAAGCCCGAAAATGAGGCCAGCTCGGAACAAAAACCAAAACGAAAACCCGTTTCCTGGGAATCCAATGTAAAAAACAACGCGCCGAGGGGGGCCGGATATCTTCCCGGCGTCATCAGGGAAGAGAGGAGAGGAGAGTAGTATTCATATGGTGTATTGCGGGACGGGAAAATGACCACAGCCACTGCTTCTTGTTTGCGCCGCCTTCCAGCCGGCCGAAAAAGAAGCAGTGGTTGTGGTCGTTTCCCTTTCCCTGGTGCCAAGCTCAACGAAAATGACCACAACCACTGCTTTGTTTCTGCGGGCTGGAAGGCGGCAACAAAAGAAAAGCAGTGGCCGTGGTCGTTTCCACGCCCCGTATGTATTCATGGAGATGAGGGAGGAGGAGCGGGGAAGAAGAGCTTGTTGTCCAATGGGGCCCTGTGCACGTCCGCCCCGCCCCCGCGGGAAGCGCACGCGGCCGCCGGCCGCCCCGCGCTCTGCCCCTGGGGCAACCTCGAGGCCTGCCGCCCGCCGGCCTGCCCGTCGGCGCCTGCTCGCGGCGGCCTGCCGCGGAGACGCCGGCGGCGCGGAGGGCCACCGCCGGGTGGCCGCGCAGGCGGCGCCGCCATCGCGCAGGCGCCAGCTGCCAGCCTCGCGCGAGCGCGGGCGGGCGCTGGCCGCTCTGGCGGCCCGCGGCCACCAGCTGCGGGCGGGTCTGGCGCGCGGCGCGCAGCCTCTCTCAGCCCGGAGGGTCAGGCGGCGCGCGGGCGGTGGAGGGAAGCGCCTCGGCGCCCAGCTCGAGCTCTGGGAGCAGCGCGTCGGCTTGGCTGGCGGTGATTTGCAGGAGCTGTTCCTGCGCCTCGTCCAAGAGCCTCGCCAGCCCGTCCTCCCGCCGCTGGGCCCCTTCGAGCTCCCTGGCGAGGACTGACCTCTCCTTCTCGACCGCAGCCAGCCGCTCCAGGCCCGCCCTCAGCAGCAGCTCGGCCTCTTCCTCACACCTGCGCGACTCATCGAGGTCCGCCAGCACCTTTGCATTCGCCGCCCTCGGCACCTCGATCTGCCTCGCCATCTCTGGGTCGACGACAACGCGGTTGGCCAAGTCCCCCTCGTGGACAGCCGCGTCCCGATCCACCTGCGCCTCCTCGACCTGCTGGGCGAACCTCTGGCAAGAGCCCCTGGCCTCCTGCGCCCCCGCCCGCTTCTCCGCGAGGGCCGCGCGCAGCTCGCCCTCTCTCGCCTCGGCGCGGCCCAGCCTGTCGCCGACCTCGGCCCGCCGGCGCTCGGCCTCCTCCAGCATCCCCTGCAGCGCCTGCACCTCGCTGAGGAGCTCGCCCTCCCGGCCGCCGAACGCCTCGCGCACCCCGGAGAGCCCGTCGCTCCCAGGGCACCGCCGCCCGTGCCGAGCCGCGCGTGCTTCTCCCCAGCCCCGAGCGCGCCTTCCGCGGCGCCCGCGCCTCAGCGCCGCGGCCGCTAGCGCCGCGCCCGCGAGGCGCGGTGCGCCCGCGGCGGGCGCGCAGGACAGGCCGCGCAGCCCCGACGGCCTTGTGCGCTCCGCGCCGCGGAGGCCGACGGGGCCCGCCGGTGCCCCGCTGGCCCCGCGCGCGAGCGGCTGCCTCCAGGCACCCGCGGCCGCCATCGCCGCGCGGCGGCGCCGTCCGATGCGGCTGCGGGGGCCCGAGGGGGCAGTGCCCAACGGCGGCTGGGAGGTGGGGGGGCCGGAGAGGCGCGGGCAGAGGAGCGAGCGAGCGAGCGCCGATGCCATGACGCGCGTGCGCGGGGAACGCCTCCCGGCGAGGTCAGCGGCGGTGGGCAGAGGAGCGGTGGGATGACTCCAGAGGGCGCGGGGGGGACGGGCTCGGAGAGGACACCGAGAGACGGGAGCTTGCCAGGGTGCGGCCGAGTGGCTCCAGGCTCTCAGGGTGGAAAGCTCCAGAGCCTCTGGAGGGTATGGGGCGCGCGATGGGGAAGGCCCCCGCAGGCCAGAGACTTAGGCTCCAGGTGCTCGCGCCTCGCAGCTTGCTCGAGAAAGGAGGCCCCAGAGGAGAGGAGAGGGGGAGGGCCACGGGACGGCAGGAGGAGGAGGAGGAGGAGGAGGAGGAGGAGGAGGAGGAGGAGGAGGAGGAGGAGGAGGAGGAGGAGGAGGAGGGAGGAGGAGGGAGGAGGAGGAGGAGGAGGAGGAGGAGGAGGAGGAGGAGGAGGAGGAGGAGGAGGAGGAGGAGGAGGAGGAGGAGGAGGAGAAGGAGGAGGGAGAGGAGGAGGGAGGGAGGGAGGGAGGGAGGAGGGAGAGGAGGAGGGAGGGAGAGGGAGGAGAAGAGGAAGAGGAAGAGGAGAGGAAGAAGGAAGAGGAGAGAGGAGGAGGAGGAGGAGGAGGAGGAGGAGGAGGAGGAGGAGGAGGAGGAGGAGGAGGAGGAGGAGGAGGCGAGGAGGAGGGAGGAGGAGGGGAAGGAGGAGGGAGAGGGGGAAGGGAGGGAGGGGGAGGGGAGGGGGAGGGGAGGGAGGGAGAGGGAGGAGGAAGAGGAAGGAGGAAGAGGAAGAGAGAGGAAGAGGAAGAGGAGAGAAGATGATGATGATGATGATGATGATGATGATGATGATGATGATGATGATGATGATGATGATGATGATGATGATGATGAGGATGATGCTGAGGAGGAGGAAGGAGGAGGAGGAGGAGGAGGAGGAGGAGGAGGAGAGGAGGAGGATGGAGGAGGAGGAGGAGGAGGAGGAGGAGGAGGAGGAGGAGGAGGAGGAGGAGGAGAGGAAGGCAGGACGGGAACTCCCTGTCCTTCTTTCCTCTTCTCCGACTCTTGGGCAAAGCCATGGGGAATTCCATGCGGGAATGAGGTGGTCCCCCTGCTCCTGGAGGAGGGGAACCACCTCCCCCATGGCTTTCCCCTTTCGGGCCCCCACTCCCTCGCCGCTCCCTGGGAAAACACCAACTGCAGGCTCATCCTGGGCCCAAGATCGGCGTATACGCCCTCCGGACTTGGGCAAGCGTGCAATCGGCTACACGCAAGAGTGACCGTAGGAAAGAATGAATGACCCTTTGTGCGCGGCGTGAGTATAATGGACCCGGGGGGCCAAACCGAAGCGCGCAAGCCGCTGCTATTGCACTGCAATCGATCGGGGGGTTTCAGTGGGCCCGTACCAAAGTTCACCCTGGCGAGGGGCCACTGTGTACGTATACAGCCGAGGAAGGTGGTCAAGATTAAGAAACTGGGGCCAACTTCCAGATGTTTCTTTAAACAAGCTTTGGCACAAGACACTGGGCCAGCTTTCCGGGAAGTTGGCCAGTAAACGCTGGCCCAACTTTTCGGGCGGGGGTTTCTGAATCAGATGCTCGACTGTAGTCGAACCAACCCTGGGCCAAGGATCGGCCTGATCGCCCTCTCTCCGCAAGGCTCCCGCGCGCGGGCCTGCCAGGCGTGCCGCCGCACCGCGCCCTCGACGTCGGCCAGCAGCTGGCGCGCGCCAGCCAACTGGGGCCGGGTTGTGTGTGTGTGTGGTGTGTGTGTGTGTGTGTGTGTGTGTGTGTGTGTGGTGTGTGTGTGTGTGTGTGTGTGCGTGTGTGTGTGTGTGTGGTGTGTGTGTGTGTGTGTGTGCGGCGGATGTGCTGTATGGCGGTAGGTGCTGCGGGATCCAAAGCGACTCCTGAGGGCCCGGCCGTGACCCCATGCTTCGTACTCTTACAAACTCCGCCTTGTCGCCGCGCGCAAGGCCGGTTCCGCCGAAAAGTGTGTGTATGTGCAGGACAGGGCAAGACGACACGCTCGGGGGCGTCAAAAGAGGGGTGTCCAAGAGAGGGCTTCGCAATTCACGGCCCGAGGCACGTTCGTGGCCCAGGGGCAGGACATGGCACGACGAAGCTCAGGGGCGCCCAAGAGGGGTGCTCGCAAATCACGGCCCGAAGCAAGTGCGCGGCCCAGTGGGGGCCAAGGGACGGAGTGAAACTAGACGAGGGGGCCACGATATCTGGAAAAGTATTATGGCCTCGGCCATGATATCCATCCTCCCCTAAGTCATTCCCCCCTCTTGGCGGCCCAAAATACCTAGGACCGGAACAAAATTGGACTGGACAAATCGGAGATCTCTGAGATCCAGCGGTTCTGGAGGATGCATCGGGCGCCGCGGCAACTCCAAAGCGCTCTGGAAAGCCCTGAGAGCGTTCCGGAACGCAACGCCCTGGAACGATGAATCCTGGCCTGGAGGAGCAGGAGGTCAGAGCAGGCCCGGACTTTGCCACCGACGCTGCAGAACGCCCTCCCGCCAGGGCCCGCCAGCCCCCGCCCGGACCGGCCCGCCCTCCAAGCGTGCTGGCTCGAAGATGCGCCCGCCCGCCCGACCCCACCCGCAAGTCAGGGTCCGCCCGCCCAACCCGAGCCGCCCGTTGGGGTCCGCTCGCTCGACAAGCCCTGCATGCGTGCCAATTCGATGATGCATCATGCGTTGCTGTCTCTCGGGGGTGGACAGAACCTCTTTTGGCAACGCGCCCTTTAGTGAAAACTGCCAGGGGCATTCCACGTGCGCACGGCACCGCATTCCGAGTGGACCTGGGCGGGTTAGCTCATCGTCGTCCAAAAACAAGTGACTGTATCTGGTGAGACGCACGTCGATGAGCGAAACCGACAGGGGAATGCACCGGTACACTCGAATGCCGATGTCGAGCCAACCTTTGCAGATTTCCTCAGTCGACTTGTCTGGGATGCCGTTGTATCTACGCCGAAGTCTCAGAAAACGATGCCGCGGGCTCGTGCGGCGTCGACCCTGGCATTGGTTCCTGACACCGCGGGGATCGTTCAACCTGGAACGATCGGCCGTTTCCTAAACGTCACATCGTTCAGCATCGACCGATTCTGGGTCGCCGCGCTGGCCAAGACGACGCGAAGCTACCGTGCGGATATTCGTGCTTGCTTCTGCAAGCGCTCCCTGCAGAGATGGGGAGGGCCCGTCGGCCTGTCCCAGGCCCAGGGCCCGAGAGGGCTAGAGGGGTGCCGCTCCTGCGCAGCATGGCTCCGCCAGACTTTGAGAACTCGCGGTGCGGCTGTACGAGTGACTCCATGATCCAAGGAGGCCCTTCGATGCGACGCAGGCGGCGCAACGCGGGGCCGACACAAGCCGCGCGCTGTCGGCGGTGCCGAATGGAATGAACACACGCTTGGGCTAACACACGTCCTGAAGATCATCGAGTGATACGGTCAAGAGCCTTGGCTTGGCGTGCCGCGACGGCGGCCCCGGCGACACGCTAACTCCCTGGCAAGCGGATAGCGTGTCGCTCCTCTCCGTGGGGCGGCAGGCTGGGAAAAACTCGGGACGTTGACGCATGGGAACGGGGAAGCGGCTAGCGTGTTGCGCCAGAACGTGGTGGGCCAGAACCGGCGGCGCGACACGCGGAGTCAGAGTTCCTGACCGTAACCCTGTGGGGCTGCCGCAGAACTGAAACAATGACGTAACCCTGTGGGGCTGCCGCAGAACAGAAACAATGAGAGCCTTCCCCCTATCCCTGTTTTTCCTCCCCCTCCTCCCCCTCCTCCCCGTCGTCCTCGTCCTCCTTCCCCTCCTTTCCTCCTCATCCCCTCTCCTCCTCCTCCGCCGCCACCTCCGCCTCCCCGCTCCTCCTATCCTCCTCCTCCTCCTCCTCCTCCTCCTCCTCCTCCTCCTCCTCCTCCTCCTCCTCGTCCCCCTCCCGGCCCACCTCCCCCTCCTCGTCCCTCCCTTCCCTCCCTGCCCTCCCGCCCCTCCTCTACTATGTACTGCGGACTCAGTGGCATTGCCAATTGGGATGTGGATCTGAAGGGGGGGTGCCATGCCCGAGCCGGCGCCAATCGCCCGGAGTGCTGCGCAGATTGTTGCAGCTGCTGCCTCAAGAAGCAGCAGCGCCGCCCCCGGAAGCAGCGCCCCTGGGCCCCCCCTCCTCCTCCTCCTCCTCCTCCTCCTCCTCCTCCTGCTCCTCCTCCTCCTCCTCCTCCTCCTCCTCCTCCTCCTCCTCCTCCTCCTCGGGAGACGCCTCGCGCACGGCCGCGCGCAGCCGCAGGCTGCCCCTCCGGCTCATCAGCGCCGCGTAGCGATCGAAGCAGGGCCTGGCGCCAGCTCGCGCGGCGGGCCGCGTCTTTCTGCCGGGAGGCCGAGGCTCATGTTTTATACCGGTCTGAAGTGTTGCAATTCTGTTGCACGCTCTGGCAACTGTTTTTGCCGGCTTGCAATCTTCAGTTCTCCCAATGTTGCCCGTTCTGGCGCAACTGTTTCCCCATTCCGTTGCTTTTTTGATCAGTCTCCGGTTTCAGTTCTAGTCCAGGAACATTTTTTCCCAACCATCCTGTGGTGTTGGGTCCTCGTTTTGAAGAGACAGCGCCCCGCGTCTCCTTCCTTCCTTCCTCCTCCCCCCTCCTCCCCACCCCCCCTCCTCCTGCCCGCATGCGGTTCCCCAACCCAGGGCGGCGTTTCGTAACCCCATAGGGAACCCCACCGAAGGCGCCAGTGGGGGTGCCCGCATGCGGTTCCCCACCCAGGGCAGTGTTTCGTGGCCCCATAGGGAGCTCCACCGAAGGCCCCAGTGGGGGTGCCCGCATGCGGTTCCCCCACCCAGGGCAGCGCTTCGTAGTCCCAAAGGGAGCTCCACCGTAGGCCCCAGTGGGGGTGCCCGCATGCGATTCCCCCACCCAGGGCAGCGTTTCGTAGCCCCATAGGGAGCCCCACCGACGGCCCCACTGGGGGTGCCCGCATGGGCAGCGTTTCGTAGCCCCATAGGGAGCCCCACCGAAGGCTCCGATGGGGTGCCCGCATGCGGTTCCCCCACCCAGGGCGGCGTTTCGTGGCCTCATAAGGAGCTCCACCGTAGGCCCCAGTGGGGGTGCCCGCATGCGGTTCCCCCACCCACGGCAGCGTTTCGTAGCCCCATAGGGAGCTCCACCGAAGGCCCCAGTGGGGGTGCCCGCATGCGGTTCCCAACAGCAGGGCAGCGCTTCGTGGCCCCATAGGGAGCTCCACCGAAGGCCCCAGTGGGGGTGCTCGCATGCGATTCCCCCACCCAAGACAACGTTTCGTAGCTCCAAAGGGAACTCAACCGTAGGCCCCAGTTGGGGTGCCCGCATGCGGTTCCCCCACCCAGGGCAGCGCTTCGTAGCCCCATAAGGAGCTCCGCCGAAGGCCCCAGTAGGGGTGCCCGCATGCGGTTCCCCCACCCATGGCGGCGTTTCGTGGCCCCATAGGGAGTTCCACCGAAGCCCCAGTGGGGGCGCCCGCATGCGATTCCCCTCACCCACGGCAGCGTTTCGTAGCCCCATAGGGAGCTCCACCGAAGGCCCCAATGGGGGTGCCCGCATGCGGTTCCCCCACCCAGGGCAGCGTTTCGTAGCCCCATAGGGAGCTCCACCGAAGGCCCCAGTGGGGGTGCCCGCATGCGGTTCCCCCACCCAGGGTAGCGTTTCGTGGCCCCATAAGGAGCCCCACCGAAGGCCCCAGTGGGGGTGCCCGCGTGCAGTTCCCCCACCCAGGGCAGCGTTTCGTAGCCCCATAGAGAGCTCCACCGAATGCCCCACTGGGGGTGTTCGCATGCGTCTCCCCTACCCAGAGGTAGTGCCACCGAAAACGATATTCATATTTGCGGTATTCACAACTGCATATGGTTGGGCCCTTCGCCAAGCTAATTACAATGTCTGGGAACCGCTTCTATACCGTTCCAGTGCTCCAGATGCAGATTTTGAAAATGGCGAAATCAATGGCCCTGCCGCTTCTGGGGCCAACGGATGCTGCACATTCTATTTTTTCTAATTTTCTCTGTGGGCCATGTGGGGGGCGGAGATGCGGCTGTGCAGTGCTGGGCAGGGGCGCGCTGGCTGGAGCGTTGGCCGCCGGCGCTCCAAGAACTCAAAACGATCGGGGTGCTCCCAGAGGCACCCGCCGTCAGTGCCGTTGCGGCGCCTGGCGCCGAGCTTCTCTGATCCTGTGGCAGGATGCCCCCCGATCGAAAGGACTATCAAGCCTGCTCGGATGCTGATGTGTTTTGTTTGCCAAGCGCAGATAGCTTTCGCCCTCCAGGGGCTCTTCAGCCGAAATGGCACTGCATAGAAGCATCGGACGAAAGGTCGCTCGCGTGTACAGTTTTCTAAAAAACATCCAGGCCCTACCCTCCCTGCTACTGCGTGGTTTGCCAGATTCGGGAATAACGTCTCAAAAACAGGTTCGGTCGTGCACTCCACGCTATGTGCACTGGCGCTGTCCGTCCGAAAGCCTTTCTTAGAATACCTCCGTCTGTATTCAGTGCCGCGCGCAAGTCTGCTGCGCGGACCTGGGAGCAGAACGGGACTTTCATGTAGAACTTGCGGACATGATTCGTGCGCACGCTTTGTCGCACTCTACGCCTGCAGTCCCTGAAAGCATTCAGCAACGAAAAGCGCCTACTTGCTGTATGTCCTCGCTCGGTCAGTTTCTGTGTGAGAGTTCGTGCATGGCGTAATGCATCATATTCGTATTTGTTCTCGCACATGCTCTACTGATACACCCTTTCGCTACCGAGTCGAACGCGCTCGGGTGATGGCAACTGCACGGAGGAACATGCACATAAATTCTGAAGCTTCGAATACATCTCCCATTTGACGGTGTTGTCCGCGTCTCTGGACAAAACGGTATCTAGGAACACTACTTGCTGACCAGTGCCGGTCAACTCGGTTTGGATACTGCCTCTTCAGCTGTTTGTGGCAACTCCGAGCATCTCTGGCCCACCGGTCGAGATTGCTAGGATGTCATCAAGGAAGCGTCTGTAGAACTTCAGGTCTGCCTCCAGCGACCGCTCCACGTGGTAGTCGAAAGCTACGAGGTGCAGATTTGCCAGGATCACCCCTGGAGCGAAACCGGTTGGGATGCCGTCGTCTGACGTATACACGTCCCCACCGAACTGTACTAGGCAGGATTTCAAAACCACCTCCACGACATTTATGATGAAGGTGGCGAGGCCCTCCGCGAAAGAAGAACGTATGATTGGAGATGCGTGTTCTAGCAAATGACTCTGATCCACTGATGGGTGCAAGTTCTTCACGTCGTACGTGTGCACCTCCCAGTTCTCGTCCAATCGTAAGTGCCTCAAAGCTTCCAGCAATATGTCTGCCGATTTTAGCACGGCGCGGCAATTCTCCACTCTGGAGCCAGGCTTTTCCACGAGGAGCTTCCCGAAAGGCTCAACGAAGGTGCCGCTCATATTGCACATGGGCCTCCCTGTCACTGGTGCCCTGTGCATCTTGACCCTGATCCTAAATGCTCCAACTTTCAAGGAAGCTGACAGATGTAGTAGAAACTGGAAACAATTACCATCCAAAACGTCGTTCTCAAGCGCTGACTGATTCCGATAACCGCTCTAGCAAGGATTTTCGTAGTAACGCGTACTCTTCGGCATCATCTCTGGAAAGGTGACGGAAACCAACCTGAAACTGCGCATGGACGAGTTCATTCAAGGACGATCTGAGAATCACGACGTCTCCCAAGCCTTTGTCTGTGTCCACAGTTGCCAGCTGGTCGGAGTGCTGCTTGGGCAATTTCTCTGCTCTTCGGTCCAGCCAATCTGTGTTCATAGTAGGGCTGCCGATGCAGACGAACTCGTCTCTCTCCATCCTGTGCTGCAGCAGCCTGCAGTGCGAAGATACGTCTGGATCGAGAGATGGAGGGTTCCACATGCGATTCGGCAGCTTGCAGCGTGTGAGGTGTCTGGCTCGTTCGTGTGCCTGCTCTTCTCCGTCGAAAAACTTACATATGTGCAGTCTGCGTTCTAACGTCGTGCAACTTGACAGCAGGTCCTTCTCTGTAAATGGCCTGCCGTCTGGGATGAACTTCGAACCTTTAGATAGGTACTGTATGACGAATTGGGGCACTTGGATGTCGGCATCGTGGGGGGGGGGGGGGGGAGGTTGTGTATGCCTCTCTGTGCTCGACCATTGCAGCGTTTTGAGAACTTCGCCCGCAGCGTCGTGGCAATGACAAACTTGGTGAAGTCAACCTGCGTTCGATCAACATCAACCCACCAAGATCTGCACCTCCTCCTCCCCGCTACTGTTTTTTTTTGCCTGCCTTTGCCTCGTCCACGGCCGCGGCCGTAGCGGCCGTGCCCCTTCCCTTTGCCGCCTGAGCTGTGATCAGAGCGCCTACTTCCGGTGCTTCGGTGGCTTCGTGCTGATCCGGGCCGTGCTCTAGATCGAACTCTGCTCGGGACGCGCACTGGTTGCGAAGGGGCTCCACTCTGTCCTCCTTGGGGTGGCCGTGTTGCTGACCGGCCACGTCTGGAAGCTCCGCGTTGTCTCGCTGATGTGCTTCGCCTTTGGGATGTACTTCGACCTCTTTGTCTGTCGCGCGATGCATCTCTCTAAGTCGTCCTCTTAGACGTTGGCCTCGTGGTGTGATCTCTCGCTTTGGACGCAGGCGTCCTGTAAGTTTCTGAGGGCGCATCTGGCTTGGGCCCCTTGGCCCTAGTGAACTTGAGCTTGTGGTCTGTGACGAGCTCTTTGGCAAAATCTGCATTGGGATGAACCAAGTAGCGAAGAATGCCATCTTCTGGTACATGTGTATAACCTTTGTCGTCCTTGCGCGACCGCCTGAGCTCGAGCAGTGCTAATGTCAATGCCTGCTTGGTGTCCAAGCTCCTGTATTTTGTCTCGGCATCTGTTAACGCCTTGTCTCTCAGCTGTTCGACCTTGGACTGCTTCTCCAAGCGCCCGCGCGTCTTCGGGAGAGCGTCCCGAAGCAGAAGCTCTACGTATTTGGGCGCCATGTCGTTGAGGTAGCCAAGGTTGGAAACTGCGATGGGTTGACTGTTATGCCAACTTGAGAGTTTGTCTTGCCGAATCTGGATTCACCTCTGCCGTGAACAGCTCCGTGCAGGCCTTGTGGTGCCCGGCGATGAACTCCCAGCACTCTCTTGCGTGCCTATCGTGCGTGTTCTCCCATGCCTTCGTGGCGGAGTAGTCCAACTGATCTTGATTCTCGCCCTCCTGAGGCACAGCACGTGCGATATATATCTTGGGCCACTGCCAAGTGTATCTGCGCTCTGACTCAATATGTGGATGGTACTTGCCCTCTCCTTGCAACCAGTCGTATT